GGTGCTGACCTGGGGGCGCTGGGGAAAGTGAGGGCCAGTGCTGACCTGGGGGCGCTGGGGAAAGTGAGGGCCAGTGCTGACCTGGGGGTGCTGGGGACAGTCAGGGCCGGGTGCTGACTTGGGGGTGCTGGGGACAGTGAGGGCCGAGTGCTGACCTGTAGGGGCACTGGGGAAACTGAGGGCCGGGGGCTGACCTGTAGGAGGTGGTTTCCTATCTTCCCAGCTTGACTTGGAAAAAGTATTTGAAGAAAATTTAACTACAGAAATCAACTTCTAAGATGTCAGGAGACCTGGGACGGGGGTGCTGTAAGTCTGTGTGCCTGCTTTCTGCTTCTGTGCCTTGTTCCTTCTGACCGATCCTGAGGCTTGTCTGGGACCCTGGGCATTTGTCTGTGTAGGGTTCCTGTAGGGGCTGCCAGGACACTGCAGATCTGCATGCCTCTGAGGGAGTATCCCGGGGGCACCTCGGGAGTAGTGAGTAGGGCGTCCACACCCAGTGCCCTCTGCAGACTGCCCTCTGGGGCAGGGTTAGTGTCCTTATTAACCTCAGCTGGCTGTGCGCCCTCGGTCCCCTTTCTGCTGGGGATTGGGTGCCACCTAGTGGTGGGATGGGGTGCATTTGGCCCCATGACACCCAGAAATGGCTCACAGAGACTGCACTCGCTCCCCCGTGAGCTCCCACCACCCTGGGGCTGGTGCCCTGTCTGTGCCTGTTGTCCCCATTGTGGCCAGGCAGGGCTGGGAATACACAGGGTTGCTTCCGTGGGTGGCCTGTGAGGCAGAAGTGCTATCGTCGTCTTCTCTAGCCGAGGGGCTGTGTCCCCACCTCTTGGCACTTCCAGGGGGGTGCGGGGAACCCAATGACAAAGTGCCTGTGACTGAGACTGGGGAGAGAAGCAAGTCCAAAGTGAAGGTCATGAGTTTATTTTTGCTTATGTTTGATGATGATAGTAACAATAATGACGTGGAGAATAGTTATAGGTACAACTTGTGGGTAAGCGGCAGTTCTGACGCTCGACCCTCAGTGCTTTGGACATGTGTGCAGTGGTGGTCAGCTGTCCTCACTGGCCCAG